CACTTATCTCAAGCTTCCTTCGAGCAGCTCAAGTGCCTAGTTTCATTTTATAAATAAAAAAAATATGCAGTATTATAGGGCAGTTTATAAAAAATTTATGTAAATACATTTTCTAAACTAATTTGTATTAATTTGGTAGATTAGATTACATTAATACAATAATAGGGGGTTTCAAAGTTAAAATGCGGAACTCTAATTTTAATTGAAATTGGTTACAGATTTATTTTCCAATGAGCTGTATCATTTTCTGATAAATTTGAAATGATAGCAACGCCAGCATCGCGAGTAATCGGGGCTTCTGCCTCGTGATTTCCGACACATGATAATGAGTTACGTATGCATAAAAGTTTATGCACGAAAGTTTATTGCAATTACATACGTTCATTCTTATTATTACTAATCAATCGTTTTCTTTTTTTCCAAAATTTTATTATAATGGAAAAAATAAAAAATAAAAACCCTTTGGAAGAAACTTTAGTATGCACTAGATGCAGTTACTTAAAACCGCTTGTAGAATTTATTCTTGAAGATGGTAATTGGGACCATTGCAAAAATTGTCGCAACAATGTATCTTAAGCAAAAAAACGAAAAAAGCAAGATGTTGATAATTTTACGAATGAAGAGGAAAGTACAATCGACTTTGCAAATATCACAGATTATGTTTATGATATTCTCTTAGAATATAAAAATATAAATGATGATTTTGAAGGGGCGACTAAATTTCAAGTCAAATTTAATATTAATTTTGAATTGATTTGTGAAGCGTTAATTGATGCTACTGAACAGGATAGAAATTTACATATTTCTAATTCAATTGTTAATGCTGTTAGTAATGGTGATGGGTATACATATGTTTATCAATCAAAATATAATAGCAAAAAGCAGGATTATATATCATTTACATATTGGTGTAATGCTCAAGAAGAATTGCACAAGTATCATAAAAAAGTGGAAGATGCCTCAAAGCGACATAGTACTGAACCATATATTAAATGCTATAAATGTAAAGGTTCTATTACAATTAAAATTAATTTCAAAAATAATATTGTACTCGTCAACATACAGGTGGGTGACAAAAATATTTCCACATCTAAGGACTTGGCTTATAACTCAAAAACTTACTAATTAACTTATGTCCTTGACTTGACTATATG